TAGGGAAATTTGCAAGAAACTTTCTGAGAATTTAGGTTTGGCATAAACGCAGAGGGTAGCGAAAGACAAGTGTTCTTTAGGCCACTTTTTATTGGTGCGAATTTACCAGAATACATCGAGTTTTACAGTCAATATTCTCTATGGAACGACGCATCATCAGGCGATCGCTCTCTTTACTCTCTATACGACGTACATACGCGAAATAAACGACATGTATACACGCGCGAGCACAACACATGCACGAGCTAGCGGACGTGCTCGTTAGGCTACGAGACGGTACAGTTTCATGCTTGTTAAAATCCCCCCCACTCGCAGAAAGGAAAAAGCGAAAATCTTCTCTTCCCCGTATCGAGACGATACTCGACACGCGACGAATGCATAAATACGTTTGGATATAAAAAATCTGAACAGACGTCGCGTCCGCCATCGAGACTGCGACTTACACGCTAATCGTGGAGTATCAGGGTTGTACACGACGGTGTACGCCTTGCTGCGAGGGAATTGACGTTTTACAACAGTCCTACCATCCTTCTTGCGATCCTCTTCTTCGCGATATCCTGGATTCCAAGGTCTGCAGGTCGTTTCAGAAGTCTCAAAATACGGCTGGATTTCTGTATGTAATTATATCCTTAGATTGTTCGTCTCTCTTAATAATATATTTCTCTTTCTTCAACGATAATACGTATCTCGTTTACTTAATGTGTAATTAAAGAGTTCGTATATTAAAAATAACCCCGGCAATTTTCTCGATTTTTCGAAGGGAGAGACGGAAAATAACATACTCCATCACCAGTGAATTTTTCTTGCATCGGGATGAAGGAAATTTTTCGTAATTATTTATTTCATCGTTGCAATGACGATTTCCAACTAGCATGATTGCGATATTAAAGAGTAGAGTAGAAATTCAGGAAAATTGACGAGGATCGTTTTTACTCGAACTCTTCGATTATCGTATTACGCGTTTATATTAGCGTATATCCACAATAGTTACAATTTTTACGATTATTACAATGTTACATATATCATGAATATACTATATAGTAGAGATTACAATATCGTTATAATTCTTGTCATCCATGGATCCGACGACGACGTTAATGAAAATTCCGCGGTCCAGAAAAATACTATACACGCATCTCTCGTTTTCTCCTCTCTCTCTCTCTCTCTCTCTCTCTCTCTCTCTCTCGCTCGCTCTCGTTTTCTTTTATTCTCTCTTTTTTTATTTTTCATATTTTCTCTTGTTTCGACGTCTACATCGCCCCTCTCCACACTCATACGCAAGCTTCGCGGGGAGTCGATTAATCACAAATGAAACGCGTGCAGCGTGTACAGGTAAAAATGATAGAGTGGTGTAGTGAAATTATGCTATTTGCGCGACAGGTCGTTCGCGTCCTCGAAATACCGTGTTCCCTTTCATCACGCATTAGTAAAGATAAAATCGTAAACTATAGTAAATGATCGGTATTAATTTTTTACTTCACCAAATTCTTCTTCTTTTTCGTATCTTTCGAATACTTCGTTCCTCGAAAAGAATGAAAATTAGGAAAACTAGGGAAATTATTTTTCCGAGAGTCGTATATTTCTGATCTAAAATAATTACCATATTATCACGAAAGGCAGCGTTCGTTTCCACGTTTCTTAACCCTTTACACTCGGCGACCTTTTCGTTACAGAGAAATAATAATTCGAAAACTTTCTGCCATGAAGTGAACGATATTTTTAAAACGGTAAATAAGAAATCGTATATGAATTAAGACGTAGAATTATTTCAGTTCAACATTCCACGTATCGTTGGCTAATTTTAAATTTTATATATTAATTAACATCTATTTTAAGAATTCGATTAAATGCCGGCTGAGGGTTGCTTCTCGAGTGCAAGGGGTTAATACTAAACCTACGACGACCTAAATGACAGTCCTCATTCGTTTTAACCACTTGCGCTGGAAAGACGTGTCGCGCACGTGTAATATTTTCGTCGCAGAATCGCCAACAACGTGGTATACACGTGATCAGGCAATTTTCACAGAAACACTGGACTCGTGTCTGTGAATTTCTTGTCAGCGCAAGTGGTTAAATAAAAATTCTCCATTTAACGTCATTACTTTCGCCATTTAGTGTCACAATTGTTCTCATAATAGTTTAACCGATTTTTCTTTGATTCTCATAGTTTGAGTTAGGGATCGATCGTTTAAACGGTCGTTTAATCGTGATAGGTTCAGTATTAACCCTTTAACGATGTCTGACGAGTATATTCGTCACGAGAAAATAATTTCTCACGACGACTACACTCGTCACGTGGAAAAATAAATCTCCGTTTGCTATAAAAATGAAATTTTCGAAGAAGACTGTAAACTATACATCTTCCATCGGAACAAAGGAACGAAGATAAAATGTCTCAAACTCACAGAGCTTCGTTTACTCTATTTTTCACGAGTATATTCGTCCTAATAAGCGAGATTCCACCGTTAAAGGGTCAAAAGAGGTGTACAATGTGGTGCAAAATGGAACAAAGTTCTCTCGAAACGCGAGTCGCGCTTTAGAACATGCAGGGAGAAGGAGATGGCGCGTTTGTCGTACAAAATGGTGCTTCTTCACCGATAGAAAAACAGATTTGGCAATGGCGGGAGGGATCGGCTGTTCACGCGCGTTCATTGTTCGCGTTTACTTCGGCGCGAGGGTTACAAAAGGAGTCGTATCTTGAACAACAGTATCTTGAAAAGACAAGTGTATAGGCAGGTACTGTATTATGTTTCTGATTGACACGATCGACGTCCAGCGATCGTGCACGTCGGGATTCCTCTCGTCTATCGTCCCGCTGCTGAATCTAGCCGCGACGTCACGATAGAGTCCTCGAAAGAACGACGACAAAATGGCCGCGGCGGCCATCTCGAAAGGCCGAGGATCGGCCTCGGCGAGCGGTTAAAATCGAATTTTACAATCGACGGCGTTTGGAATCGCTAGGTGAACTACGTTAGCGAGCCAACTCGGAATAAATCGCATAAATGGCCGCTTTCGACGACGGAACAGAGTCTACCGAGTCTCGAGAACGTTGTTACACTCTATTCTCTGGATATCTCGACTATCGATAGATAGACTATGAATAAATAATAACAGCGACGTACGGTAATACGCGTAACTATCTATAAACGATGAAACCACGTAATCGAGAAGCTCTTTGGAAGAGAGGCCTGTCTAACTATACTTCGAGATATTCAAAATCGAAAATTTTCTTTGTAACTTTACCCTTCATGCGTTAATTAGAATATAATAAAGAACAGAGTGTAAAAATCGGGAGAGGGATATATATTTCGAGAAATTCCTCTCTTCCAAACAGCTGGATCATAAATCGATCGTTCAACGGAGCAGGAAATGATCGAAATGGAACCGAGATTATCGGCATCAAGCGATTTCAACGGAACACAACGAAAAGGACGAAATTATTCAGAGTTTGTGGAACGGAAATGGATGTCTGTGTCGCGAACAAAGATGCAAACGAGACAGCATTGAATACGCGTATTCGATGCTCGATCTATAATACTTTCATGTGTTTCGAGTTTCGATTCCCTCGGACGCGTACCGCGGGAAATCCGTGTAAATTACAATCGTTAATTACACATCTAGCTACGCGCGATTTGTCGCACGGAAGAATCGACAGGGGCCGTTCGATCGATAGGCTTTTTATTTCTCTCTCGAGGAACGAGATCGCCGTAATCGCACTGTGCCAGTGTGTTACGATTCTTCGTCGTAAAAGCTCGCCTAACGTCGCATCTTCGCGGGCAATGGCTGCAGAGCGCGGTACCGGAAGTGCACGGTACCACGTGACCCGATATTTGCCTGAGCGAGTGTCTTCTCGTGTTCCGTGTGAAGTCAATATTAACCCTTTCGCCACGGTCAACTCTCTCCTGTAGAACGAAGCGACGTGTCAAAGATGGAAACGTTACGATCCTTAGCATTCGGTCTTTTGAAGAAAAAGAGCAAATTTTTTGAAGAAAAAAAGAAGAGGAAAAACTGACCATCGCAATAAAGTTTGCAATTCCTTGCGAAGAGAGCTAAGCGAAACGGTAGCACTTGTTTTAATTTTCTACTCAATTTTTGTGACAATTTTGTGGACTATAGTCACCCATCGTGCGTAGATGGCGTCTCATGGCCGATGACTATAGTCACCCGTAGTAGCGAAAGGGTTAATACGATAAACAACTCTTTCTCTACTTAAAGTTACTGGTCGATAATAGTCGTATAGCAAAGAGTAGATATTATGCAACTTATCATCCTATTCGCATGTTTCTTCGAGCAGCATCGCGGATCCGTTGAGACAGAAGATACAAGAAAACCCGGTGAAATATCCTCGTCGTTTGAAATATATTCGTTAGAAGCGCCATTTTACGTGTAGAAACGGCGGCAAATGGTGAAACAATAGGCCCGTTCATCGTTGTCCAAAGATACAAATCGTAGTAAAAGTAGCTGGTAAAAATTCGCGTTTAATCTACGAAAGACAGAGAGAAACTTTCATCTTCCATGAGAAGAGAATCCTACGGAATTCCTCGATCGATTCGTCTCATTCCTCGAGCAACTAGCAGCGAGTCGATCAAACGGGGCAACAAGTGGTCATTTACAATCGAGATTTCGAGACAGTATGCCGATTATTTATACACTGCGTTATACGACACGGCTAACATTTACGCTAACGTTTACTCTTCTGTCATTTCCCCAGACGATTGGTAACCATTTCATCGATAAAACCCCACCGACGATGGGGAGGGAACATTTTTCGACAAGGTCGAGTTAGGATCCAGGGGAATCCCACCGATCGCAAATTGGTCCGGTTAATCGAGCTGATCGAGGATCTGGGGAGATTAGACATACATGATCTATGAGCAACACGGCACCGCAAAACCCTGTCAACGTTGACAACTTCGGTACCGTTTCAAACAGACGTGGATAATTTTGAACAATCTCAACAGCGAGGTCGCTTAAACGCTATGTCTATTGTACAAATTGGTCGAGCGTTTGCCAATCGTCTAACCACCGAGTGAAAATGCAACGAGTAAAATACAATTGACAAGTTGAAATCTTTCTTCGACGCTTCCCTTAGTAACTTCTTTGTTAAAGCACACTGCGTTATCGAAAATATCTCTCAACGAGGACGGCGGCCATTACGAGATCCCGTCCTCACAAAATTTCATCCGTGATTGTTAAAAGCAAACTCTCTTTCTCTTTTCTATGGAACGAATTTCTTCGCGAATTCCATCTTTCGCAATGATTCCATGGAAAAATTCTCGCAATTTGCATTCCCGATTTCCGACGATCTGCGAAAACCCGGAAAATCGCGTGGAATCGTATTGGAGTTGTATATTATTCGAAGTAGCCGCGTTAGAATTATCCCGATTTGAACGGTGATTATTTGGACAATTACCAGACGAAAATTCACGAACAACCACATACACGTATCTTTCGATTACAAAGGTTTATATATTCGGCTGGCTGCTGGTTTCGGCGCAAAGTGTCAAAGGACAACGGTCGATAAAGTACTCTCGCTGATTCGTGGTTGTCGGTCCATGAGGAAACAGTCAGCTTGGTTTGTGCGCAATCACGTGAATCTTTGCTCCCAGCGGAAGCACGGCGAGGACTGTCGTCATCGCGGATGGCCGCTTCCGGTGTCTTAGAGCAGCACGCAACCGGAACCCTGCATCACCTCGGAAATGAACATCGGCGTGCCTGCGCCGAGACCACCGTCAGTCTTCTGGTGCTCGTTCTTGTCGTACTCGCAGTCGAAGTAACAGCTCTGCAAACAAAATTCTTCAACTTTCGAATAATTCTTTAATTTAAAAATTACTCGAATAAATTTTGCGCAATTTATTCAGCCGCTATTCGCCGATCTATTTTTAAATATAGCCACCGATGGAATATCTTTGCATTGGGAAATATCGTTGCTCCCACGCAGCAATGGGAGTGAGGAAGAAGCAAGAATGGGAGGAATTTTTGGAATAAAAGCAAGGCAGAGGTGTTCTCGGGTAGGATGACAATTGCACGGTGCACGTATCGCTTTGAAAAAGGTCAGAGTGTCCGTAGGACGTTGAAAAGACGCTGCATTCGATATTCCACGAGTGCAAGGACAAGCTACCTGACAGTCCAAGCATCTGCAGTGGTCGCTCATCTTGCAAGTGATGCCCCACTGTTTCGCCACCGCTCTGTACAACTCTTTGCTCGACTTGTGAAGGATCTTGGGCGCTTTTGTTCTATTATCTTCGCCAGACGCGTCGTTCCCGGCGTTCTTCCCTGCCTCGTACTTCTGCACCTCGGCTGCGTGCTCCATCCGCGTCTAAAATTACATCGGGATATAAAGAGGAAGCCCCGAAAGGAGACCTGCCAATGTTATTCTTCCGAAATCTCAACGAATACTGCGACCAAGATTTTCTACGAAATACTGCCAATCGATTATTTCCATGCTACGACGATCGAACAGAACGAAACGAGTTAGCTCTTTATTCAGTTAGGTTAACCCAGATCTTCACCTGTTCGATAACGTGCTCGTAAGAGGGAGGAGGGGAGCTCGGTATGGCTTGTTCGTTCCTCACCATCAGGTTGTTCGAGTCAAATTTCGGTGACTTTAAATTCGACGAATTATCCGCGGTCAATTGCAGCTGACTCATCGGTCGCTGAATGTCCTGCCCGCTCGCGTTGTGCTCCTCCACTTCCTCCGCGTTCTCATCCTCCTGCTCGGTATCGCTCTCCTTCTCCCCTTCCTTCTCGAAATGCTTCTTCTCCATTTTACCCTCTAGCTCCTTGTCTCTTAACTGCTTCCACTTCGCGTCTTGCTTTGTGTCTGCAACGAAAAGACGATCGTTACCAATTGCCTCGACATTAACGTTTGGTGACAAAGACAAATCGTCCATTTCAGCGGATAATCGATGAAGGGACAGTGTTAACAATTGGAACGCGTAGAGAAGGATACGAAGGAGATTAAGGGGAGAAGAAGAGGGAGCTGAGATACCACGTTAAACGCCACGACGGACCCTAGGAACCGGCGCCAGACTTTCCGTTCAAGCCTCGTCGGTCTATACGGCCTAAAGGACCCACTTGACGGCTAACTGTGACGTGAACTAAGCAGCGCTTAAAACCGGTGTGGCGTTTAACGCGTTAACCCTTTCGGTACTACTGCTGCCCATTGGCAGAGGCCATGAAACGTTCTCTGGGTACCACTGTCACCTATTGACGGCATCCACGAAACGTCACCGATAACTGTCGCGGTCCGAATGAAAAGTTTTGTGCGAATCACCCTCGAGATTTCTATGAATATCGCAAAACACGTTTTCTTGGCTTACGCTGGCATACAGCGCAACCACTCTTGTGGGAAATTTCCTTATACCACGAATGTATAACTACGGTTTGCTCCTCCGTATTGAAAGGGTTAAATAAGTCTATTCCTTGATGTCCTTTACTCCTTTACTCCGTTGGACACGATATTCTTTCGTCCTACCACACTCTGCTCTCGTCAAACTCTGTCGTCCGTTCTTCGAGCTGTCCTTTTTAACAGTTAATGGGCCTTCTTTGTCAATCCGCCGCGTAGATCAAGCGGATTGCCGCTTTGTTTTGAGACCCCGGTTGTCGCTGTTACGTGCTCGTCACACACGCCGCCATATCGGTACTCGGAGCTCGCATACTTTCGCACGAGGATGTTATAAGTCGAGGAATATTTCCAACGTTCTTCAGCAACGCTTCGATATCGGAACTGCTATTGTTTCTACGCTCTCGATCTACGCATCACCCAAAATTTCTCGAGTCTTCCTAGTAAGCTGGCTTTACACGCCACTTTTCTCTCGCGATCCTCGAGCCACGACCGGAAACTCCTTCCTCCATCGCCGCCACTTACCCTCGCTTCCTTGTCTACGAGGCTCGCAGGATCCTCGAGCGAATCCTCGTTCACGCTACGCGACACGGATTCATCGAGCACGAGCCACGAGATACGATGTTGCGGAAGGGTACGGCGAGGAGAGGAAGGAAGGGGGCTGGAGGAAGGAAACGGAGAAAGGGGAAGAGGCGGAAGGAAGAGAGGAGCGATAGAGAAAAAAAGAGAAGAGACGAGAGAAAAGCTGGGAAAACATAGAAAAACGGGCGGCCTGGGTGGGAAGGGGCCGGGGTGTGAGGGGACGGGGTGTGTCTCCGTGCGAGTGCACCAGCTGCATCTGTCGTTGACCCAGTGGCCGAGTTTCCCGTTTATCGGTCGACCTGGCGCAGTTGCGGCTGACTTTAAAGCCGTCGACTCCTCCGGAGAGATTTAAGCTCCGCCCGACCAGCCACCGCCGCCACGCGCCGTTCTTCCCGAAAATCGACCACTTCTGTCCAAGAATTAGCGCCACGGGGATTATCCTCTGGCCAGTGGTCGATATCGGAACGATCTCACCTCTGCGTCACCTATCCGCCGGACTCGCCCGACATCTTGCCTGTTTCCGCTCGCTGGACCAAGTCTAGCTTTATTGGTCTACCTCCTGAACAGGTAGGCGAGGGTCAGAGGGAGTGTCAGGTTCCCTCAGTGTGTGGGTTTTAGACACACTGGCTGATCAATTAGTCAGGTCCCTCTCGCGAAATTGCATGGTCCCTTCACGCGAGAGCTTTTAAGGTTAATGCTAAATTTATTGAAAATTCTGCATTCTGTTATAGACTTTGTTATCTGGTTTCTTTGTTTTCCCTATTTTTCAATCTTTCTAAGATTTAGGTAACCTGCTTTGGAGGTTTGGTGTTCACTCATAGGTAATAATAATTAAATAGGTATTATACGCAAAGATGAAGTTTGGTTTGTTCGAAAGCACGTTTCCGATGGTCTGCGAAATATGTCACGAAATCCATAGGTCAGAGTCGTTTCGACCCTGAAGATTAATTATGAAAATAGTTCGCGACGCAGACGGACGAATTCGTGGAAGAATAACGAGTAAAAACGAATTCCAGTCGAATCGTTGCGCACTCGCTACACACGCGTTCGACAGGGGGTTGTATCGCCCCGAACGTAATCAGCGCTTAAAGCTGGCAGCCAGGCCGAAAATCAATATTCTACGCGAAAGGCGCGAGGAGAGATCCAATTTCCTGCTTTCCTTCAAACCCTGTCAACGCGCGAAGGATCATTTCGCACAAAGCGCCAACTCTGTTCTCGCGAACGCACTTCGCCGTCTCACGAAATGGAAATTCCTTCGGTTTACCCTGGCAAGGGGGTTGGGCCGGGTTGGCAGCGCGTCGGGGGTAGGAGCGTTTACACCGGAAGCGTCAGTCAGCCGGTGGAACGAGCCTGGCAGCTTTAATTCGACGGTGTCGCTCGCGACTCGCCGGATGGAACGTTAAAAATGTATCACCTTGGAAGCTCCGTGACAATGCGGTCCTCTGCCAAGCTTTTAACGCGGATCGTCGGAAGGAGCGGGACGCGGCTCTAGGGCCCGAGCAATTAGATAGAATTACTCCGCGTGGGAGGAAAGTTTCGGCTGGTTGCCGAAGCACGTGGGACGAGGGGTTGTTACACGAGCCTCGATGCACCGGAGCGGATTTCAGCGTTGTCCTCCTCGTCTTAAGAACTCTCCTCGCGACGCGGAAACTTGACCGAAGCTTCTAACACTGTTGCTTTAAACGCGAGAAAACGCTCGAAAATCTTCGTCGAGGTTGAAACATCGCGGACAATCAAAGGGGATGAAACTCGATAAATTTCTACTCTCGATCCTTATCTCGATTTAACGCGCAGATTTCTGAAAGTGCGCCACAAATTTGTGGAACTTTGCGGGAAGCCTGGATTACAGTTAATCTCGCCTGGATCGATAATTTTCGAATATTTAATGGAACAATGGAGATACTTTATTTCCTGCAGAAACAGAGTAGAAACCTAATCGTGGTATTACGGGATTAATTGCCAACGTGGCTGCAGACGTTGTTTTAACTCGGATCCTGTATTTTAAAAATAAATTCTACATTTTAATCTTTTTCTTTCCTTTCTGATCTGTTACACGATTCAAATCGAGAACGTGGGGGTTCCGAAGAACGTAATATGGGGGGTTCGATTGATTGAGGTTCCAACGTGTTGCCAATTGGAATCCTGATGGTTGTCTTGCTACGATTGGTAGCAGGTAGAAGAATACAATTTTCTCCTTTCTGATCTGTTACACGATTCAAATCGAGAACATGGGGGTTCCCAAGAACGTAATATGGGGGTTCGATTGATTGAGGTTCCTACGTGTTGCCAATTGGAATCCTGATGGTTGTCTTGCTACGATTGGTAGCAGGTAGAAGAATACAAAGAAAGGATGCGTTTTGTCCTGGGCCTACTAGTGAACTCAGTTAATTAGCTTCTAGTTTTATAGTAGGCCCTGTCTTAGAGGGGGATACTTAGATATCATAGCAATTTGTATTTATGAAAGTCGAGGATTCACCGAAGATTTGCGAGAACCTCGAATCTCCATTTTCCATTTTGCAATGATATGGTCACTGAAATATTTACAGTACTGTAAACTATATTGTAATTAACCAGTAAGTAGATCTCATTAGCTATCAGGTAAATTGCTAGTATTGCATGCAAATGGCTATGCACGCTATTCCTTCATTGCCTTAAATAATTAGTATAATATTTCTATAGCGATATATGATCTATACGCTGCAATATTTCCAGTACTTAAATCTATACTGTAATTAACCAGCGAATAGCGTTGGTCGCTACAGTCGTAGAACCGTTTAAATATTTTTCTTAACCTCTTCGATATTCTGTATACTACGGTATCGTATATTCGAGACTCGTGGTAAGGAGTCCGCAGGAGAGGCACGGTTCGCATGTAAACACACGGTCGAGGATCGTAATTAATTTTCCTCGATGTCTCTGTTTCAGTTACGTGTTATTCCCCGCCGCGTTTCGACGAAACGGCTCGACGTGCGACCGACCTTGTTATTGCCTGTGGCACGTGCCATCGGAACTCGGCTCGAGCTCGAGCTACGATCAGCAGGTATGCCTATGGAATGTCCAATGTAAACATCCCGTTTCCGGCTCACGGTTAATTTTCGTCCTACTCTTTGTGTCTCAGTTGCGTGTTATTCCTCGCGAGGTTCGGACGTATCGGCTCTGTGTGTGACCGCCATGCTGTTTCCCGTGGAACGTGCCATCGGGACCCGGATCCTAGGCCACGGCGTGCTTCGGGTATGTACTAAACAATTATCACACACTACTTGTCGAAGGATTATTCGTTCAGCAAGGTAGAAACGCGCATACAGTGAAAGTTAGCTCGGAGGATCGATTTAATCCGCGAGTAAATTAAGTAGAAATCCGGCGTCGGTTCTAGCCGAAGAAATATGGCGAGATTGATTCACAGTCGGGTAAATACCGCGGAACAACAAGTAGATTCGACTGCTCGTGTTCAGACAAGCGGAAGTTTGTCGGCTATGGGCAACTGGATAAGAAGGAAGTCACGCGTCGTCGGGTAAATAGAACGTGACCGTTCGTGTGCAGACATGCACAGCAAAGCCTCGTACATTCCACTAACGCTAATATCCACCGCGCGAATGTTCGTCGGATCGAGTAGAACGAATCTCTGCATCACCCGACATCTAGGACCTCGCGAGTAGAACGAATCTACCGTTCATCGGACGCACCGAGCACCCCTGTTTCGAAATTTTCGGACATACGTTAAACGATAGCTAAACTCGCCTCCAAGTCGGTGAAAATATTCAGTAGTAGGTAGTATTCTTTGACTGTCATGGGAGTATTTTCGTTATTCGAAGCATGTAATGGAAAAATAATAGTAAATTGATGATATAGGGCAATATTCTT